TTAATTATAAAAATACAATATCTATTAATATATTAATTATAAAAGAAAATAATATACAGGAAAAGATTATTTTTAAATATCTTTGGAGTTTGAATATGAAATTCAAAACGAATTTTTAATGGTTATTCATGTCAGTAAATCAAAATTTAGCCTCGTAGGTACATCCAGTAGTATGTTTTTTTTTTAATCTATACTAATATTATAAAGAGGTAAAGTTTGTGAGTTTGTGACGCTGTAGAGGGTAATTTTTGGATCTACTGAACCGATTTAGACGAAATTTGGTAAAAAGATAGTTTGAGACTCTAGGAAGGACATGGGATACTTTTTGTTCCGGAAATCAACCCTTAAGGAGGTGAAAATGGGGATGAAAGTTTGTCGCTAGTATGTATTATAAAGAAGTAAAGTTTGTGAGGTTGTAGGGGGTAATCTCTGGATCTACTAAACCCATTTAGATGAAATTTAGTAACAAGATAGTTTGAGACCCTGGGAAGGACAAAGGATACTTTTCATATAAGAGAATGAAAATGGGGATGAAAATTTGTACAGGGAACCAACCTCGGGACAAACCGGTGCGAAGCGAGGGTGAGTCGCTAGTTCTTAATATAGCAATTGTTCACCTAATGGTCGCAAAAGACCATAATCATTATTGAAGAAAAACATCCTATTTATATATAGATAATATTTTTAATATTATATTATAGCATATACTATTATATAGTATTAGTTATATAATATTATAGAAGATAGAATCTATTGATTATTACTATTATAGGTAACAGATAGTCAACTACAGTTACAATGTAACAAATACTTATTTATATTTTCAAAGCACATAGCACTACTACCAGTAACATGTAATAAGGTACAAAAGGATATCGTGACAGATTAAAACAGTTTCGTAAACAGCCAGCAAACTTAACACCTTATTAAATGTACGTGGCTTTTTTTTTCGTTAATTGTAGCCACGTTTCGGGCTAATGACTACGTACGTGGGAACAATAAAAGCGAAAGCTCGTTTTCACCTACCGTTATAATTAAAGGAACTTAATTGTTCGCCTTCATTTTGAGTGCTTAGAATGTGGTATTTGGAATCATTTTCGTTATAGATTTTTTTTGAAAAAATACATAAAGGTTGTTCATAAATATATTATAACGAAGTGAGATAATAAGTTACACAAAATAGTATAGCAAATTTGAATTTATTATTCTAAATACATATTATTATACCATAAAGATAAAATAACATTTAGTTACATTTTCGTACTGAATTGACTTTTATCATAATGTCTGTCGGAATAGCCAAAAGGGAAGTTTCTCAGTAGCGCCCAAGTTTCAAAGGTTCCTAGTTTTAGACAGTTATTGAGTAATAAAATAATGATTCTGACTTACAGAACGTGACTAAACTAGCGTCAACTTCCAATTTGATTGGACTTAATTGATTTAACCTCATAATATAATAAAAAAAATCACACATTATCACTAAAATAAAAAATATTTAGTTTGATATTTAGAGGTTTTGATGACACGTTTGGCTCAATTTGTAGTGTAACCTACTGGCTGTGCCAGAGGTCGCGGGTTCGAGTCCCGCTAGGGGAATGCATTTGTGTGATGAGTACGAATGTTTGTACTTCAGTCTTGGATGTTTATATTTATAATATATATGTGTAGTGTATAAACTATCTGGTATCCATAACACAAGCCTCGTAGCTTACCATGGAACTAGATGGCGCTGTACGTTAATGTCCTAAAATATTTATTTTTATTTATTTAAAATAATTAAATTCATGATATGCGTTAATGTTTTTAAATTCTAATGTGATACATAATCTTTCGTACTTTCTTTAAAATTCTTTCGTATTGTCTTTAAAATGTATATCAAAATTTCATTTATTTTAAAATATAACTTATTATAAATAAGGTAGATTAAAGATATACATAAAAGGTCAAAAGATAATGAAGTAAGGCCATCACGTCTGCTATCTTGCCAAACGACGTTGTCCCCTCGAGAACGGTGGAAACCGAGAATAATCTAGTTCTTTCAATCCTCTTTGTAAGGCCATCTGCGCAGTCTTTTGTGTAAGACAATTATCGTTCCGGACGTTTCTTGCGTAAAAACGTATTTAAAGGCTGCAAAGAAGCTGTACTAGACAGTGTACTCTTAATTAGATGTCTTAGAGTCGTGGAGTACGGTGGGATCAAACATTTTAAGAAATCGAATAGAGATTTTTCATATTTTATAAATCATTTTGCGAATTAGTATTCAGTCGGTTACGTAAAAATATAAAAGTCAATACTTGATGTAAAGTAAATAATGATTGAATGAGATATGAGACTTTCGTTTTATAAATATGATGATGTTGATGATGGTGATGTTCTCCTGACCGATTTCGACCACGGCGGCCAATCTCATTGAGACAAGCCAACTGCGCAGGAGATATTATAGTGCACAAGCGTACGCGCAGACACAAGTGCACTCTTTATTCCTGTCACTCTCATCTCTAGTGGGGCGAATACTCGACACGACCGGTGAGAGTTAAGGCGCAGGACCGACGGTTTTACATGCTCTCCAAGGCACGGGGGTGAAACACCGCCAACTTCCCAACTCCGGGCTGTTACTGAGGCCTACTATGCAGAAAGACTCAATAACTAAACTTGGCCAGACCTTGACTCGAACCCAGGACCTCCGGGTGTGCAGCCGTACATGCTAGCCACTACACCACCGAGAAATATAATCTATATATAAATAAGCAAAGATAAAACTGTTCAGTAACTTTTCCTGCTGTGTTTACTAAGCGATTATTTTTATTTAGTACCTAGCCATTGATGAATTTTAGTGTTATCAATGATAAAATTTTGTAACCAGATTTTTTATATAGATTGGTAAAAACAAAACAAAACAAGGTATTTAGTTACCTCTTTCTCCTTTATTTGTCACCCGATTTTTTTTTGTTGTGTAGCTGTTGACGAGCTTTGATAACATCAATATAAACATATTATAATCGAATCTCGACCATTGTGCAAACACTGGTAATAATAATTCAATTTTTTTTACGTCCCAATCTGCTGGGCCTAGCCATACATAGAGATTACGCCGTAGTTTAACGCTGGCCAAATGCGAGTTCTGACTGCTATGAAAGGACTTGTTTATCTTAAGAAAACTAGTTATATTTTCTCAGATTCCCTGGCGATATTTTCTTTTACTGCATTAGCGAGTGGGAATAACATTGAAAATGAGATTTGTATATTAAATTTCAAAGTCGCAAGACCCAGGTTTGCTTCATTCCTGATTCCAAATCAAATATACTCGTACAAGTATGTTTGAATTGTATGTACATTGTATATACATACATATTGTATTAAATTGAATGCAAATAAACTTAAAACTTTATTTAAAATATGTAAAACAGCATCTGAATATAACTATTTAGCAAATATTGATTTCTGAATGAAACCGCTGACTGCCAAGAAATAATTATAGTTTCTCTTTATATAGATCTGGAAACGTTGAATCTAATATGTTTTGGCAAAGTTTCCGAAAGTAGTTATGAAATATTCATAAAAGCCACTGCAACGAGTTTGTCCGACTGACAATGCTGGGAGCATTCATAAGAATGTTGCTAACGATAATCTAGATATACATTGTAAAGTTTTCGTGTGGACAGGGATGGTGAAGTCCGAAATGAAGTAGAGAAAACCTCGAAAGAGTGATGAAACCGATTTTGATATCAAAATACGATTCCATTAGGTAGTTTGATTTTTGAAAAGCTTTTTTTCTACCTAAAAATCGAAGCAGTTGTTATTGGAAAATCATAATAATTGGAAAATAAAAGAGACATTAAAAAATTTCTATAAATTGCTTTGTTAATTAATTAAGAGACGAACCCGAGCGAAGCGAGGGTGAGTCGCTATATAACATAACTTAACTACACTTTTGTGTAGATTGAACGAGGGTGAAGCCGCGGTCTGCTAGTTTGTATATAATTCGTAGCTACGGCATATTAATTTCAAATTTTTGCTGTGTTAGAACACTATATATTTTCAGTACATTGGCTTATTATCTCTGATAGTACAGACGACATAATACTACTAGTATAGCTACTTTATCCCTTACGATGAAATTGGACGGACCACCCCAATTCGAGCTATTTTTTAGGTTATTTTCTTTCCCTTAAGTAGGGTAGGCTATATGCCGCTATAAATGGACAGCCTAAGACGTTGTAGGGTGGATATTATTTTTACTAAAGATGTGCAAGAGATATTAAGATAAATGAAATATTACATAATGCACGACTTCCGGTAGGTACAATTCATAACTGTTTGGAACCAGTACAATACACTCATATTTATCTAAACAGCGCCTTTGAATAAGCAATATAAATTTATATTTTTAGTGATTTATCATAATCATCAGTAAAACTGCAAAAATGAAAAAGTATGATTTAGTTTCGTTTAAGATATATTTTTTGTAAAAGTATGGTTTTCTGGTTTTTTTATGACATTTATAAATTATTAGACATTTTTTTATTCTTTCCCATGAGATAGTGCGTTGGCTGAAGTAATTGTATATTTCCTGTGCTTAAAAACGGAATAACTCCCGTTCATAGGTTTAGGCCTTAGGGCCTACAATACCTACAATACCAGATATAGACAAAGTCACACCGACTTTATGTAACCCTGGCACGTACAAAAGTACAAATATCAATTATATATTAATTTTTTACAACAAAAAGTAATGATAAAAGTAATACTTAACCCATGACTAAAAGCTTCTAGCTCTATCAAAATGAATATAAAATATATTGTTTTACTATGATAAATATATCTTGATACTTGAAAATACAACACAGTAATTCAGTGTTAAGAAAATTTTAAAATAAAAATTAGTATCTCCCAATAATGTTTAAAAACAAAATGCCTAAAATAAAAAATGACAGTATTTTCTTTAAATACATTATCAATAGTTTAATAATTTTATTAATCAAATTAAAAGTTATACTTACGTGTACATAATTTCGGTTCATCGCTCTTATCACCGCAGTCATCCTCTCCATTGCAATACTTATCCAAAGATATGCACTGTCCAGTATCACACAGTAGTTCACTCAATCTACATGGACCAGCCACGTTTCTAGGTATCATAGTTTTCAATGACACCATACTTGAATCAGAATCTACGTTTTCCTCATTAAAGTCTTCACTTAAGTCTTGGGGACTGCACAATTTTAATGATAGCAATACAATTATAAATAATATAGTTCTATTATTGGATATATCATGAAAACTTTTTAAAAAACTCATTTTTAACTCCTTAACTACACCTTTGTCACAACATTATTGTTTTACAAAGTGTCTTGTTTCACAGTGTACCTGGAACAAGAAAATTTTCATCATTAAACAAACGTGGCCTATTTGACTGTTCTTACAGAATATAAACTTATATTTTATATAAATAAAAATAAATATTTTTAAAATTATCTGGAGGAAGGGAAATAGGAATTATGAGTTCGTGTTCCACTTAGAGGAAATATCTACTAAAAGTAAATTTGTAAAAGTGCACTTAAAACTAATACAGAAACTAAAATCCATATATACATATAATACAATTCTGAGTCAAATCTGTACAATGTACAGTAAATGTTTTAGAAAAATATTAATAAAATAGTTATTATTATCGATACAGAGGCCGAATTTATAGTTTTTAGAATTTTTGTCTATCTGTCTGGGAACGGTTCACGAGAAAACCACTCGGCAGATTTTGATGAAATTGGGTATGATGACAACTGAGCATTCGGGTAGGATACTTTTTATAATCTATATTAACCATTGAAATGCCCCTAGGGACGAACCCGAGCGGAGCGAGGTTGAGTCGATAGTATAAAGATAAGTTAACAAAGGTTAACTTATTTTTAAAAGACATTTCCTATAGCCAACCCATGGATTTAAAAAAAATATGTGTAAGTTAGTTACATGTTGCAATGTAGTACAAAAATTAGAAACGGGTTATAACTTAAAAGATGGTGATAAATCCCCGATTTATTAATAACTCACTCATAAAATCAACGGAATTGTCGAAATGTCCTTACGTCCGAAGTCCTTCCCAGAATAATTTTAAGATTAAATACTATACCTGTGCTTAGGTTAAGAATTAAATAAATGTATGATATAATCTGGGTGACAGACAGATGGATGTACATAACAAATTGCGAATATAAGGGACGTCAGTGACTCGGCTCACGAAAACAATTAACCATAGTTAATCCCCATTAATCGCAGGCCCAACTGATGCGTACCAAAGCTGGCTCGTTTAAAATTAACTTTTCCATTAAGCCTGTTGCTCTACCAATGGACTGTATCGCGGCATAGATTATAAAGGCTTTACATATTTAATAGAATAAGGTATTCATATTTATATAGAGGGAAAAATATAGAGAAAAATCTTCCGTAATTTTAATCTTAATAGCAAGAAAACATAAATGTTTTTCAAGCACTTGATTCAAAGTTGTGATATGTTAAGTGATTTTAGGTAAGCGTGAATTGGAAAAGCTTATTCAATTTTGAATGTTTTTATTTTCTTATCTCGGAAACGAATTCATTATTTAGAAAATACAACGTGTATTAACCAATTGTATTGCTTATAAGAATCAATATTAGTATTCAGCCCTTTTTTAACGTCCCACTGCTGGGCATATAGTAAAGGGGAGGCCTATAGGAGTGGGATCAGGTCATAGTCTTTTGAAAACTTGTTAACTTCTCTCAAATATACAGGTTTCCACACGATATTTTCCTTTACCGTAAGACAAATTATAATCATGTTGGAAATAATTTTCACATGATAATTACATGCGATGCAAGACCCGGGATTAGAACCTGTTTCACTTGATTTCCCAAGCGAGCGCATTTACACTAGGCTACCGCAGCCTTAGCATCGAATTCTATATTATAGGGAAATTATTTGGATTATATATATGTATATATATATATATATATATATATATATATATATATATATATATATATATCTTTGTTGATAGTTGGAAAATTATAGAAGAACAGACGCTTACTATATTCTCTCTGTATAGATCATCAATACAGTGTTTAAACGTTAAATGAAAATTATTAAAATAAAGTAAATAACAAATAAAAAATGCTTCATTGCTTTTGATATTTATTTCAACACCAAACTGTTTGTAAATTGAACTTTAACTTATTCATGACTAGACTTGATAATTATATAGAATAGACGAAAATTACTCCAGCTCATTGACTTGATAAACGTTTCTACGTAAATGATCGAGCCCTTGAAGTAACCTAGTCGAAAGAACCTAATTAAAATCTGAAAGTTAGCACGTAAAAAACAATAACAAGCAAGCCGATTTAAATTATTCCTTGAATATTTTCTCTTCTTAAGAAGTAAAATTATGTAACTAAACCGACGACGGCACGTTTTTCCAATGTATTGTCTATTCACACACGATTAATATAATCATCTATACCAATATAATATTTTAACACCTCCAGGTAAATTTCTAAGAAATTAATTAAATTTCTAAGAAATCTATTGTTAACTGTAAGCTGCCAGCGTGTCCGCGGTCGTGGAGGGAATAAAGAGGTAAAGTTTTTGAGTTTGTGACGTTGTAGGGGGTAATCTCTGAATCTACTGCACCGATTTAAATGAAATTTAGTAAAAAGATAGTTTGAGACCCTGAGAAGGATATAGGATACTTTTTATTCCGGAAATCATACCTTAAGGGGGGGAAATAGGGATGAAAGATTGTATTGGGAATCAAGCTAATCTATACCAATATTATAAAGAGGTAAAGTTTGTGACCTTGTGAGTTTGTGAGTTTGTGACGTTGTAGGGGGTAATCTCTGGATCTACTGAACCGATTTTCAAAATTCTTTTACCAATAGAAAGCCACGTATATTTACCCGAAGAATGAAAAGGCTTTTTCGTGGTAGTCGGATTTGCAAAGTAAGTCGGAGAAAAAACGGTCCAACGAAAACGTTTCTTACGAACGCTGCCTTAACGTTGATAGATATATGATTATGTTCTAGAGAAAAGTTGTAGAGCTTAATAATGCCTACAAAAAAGTCAGCGACAGCATATGTGTAACTTTTATATTTACGTCACAAAAGTAGTTTTTTATATTAAAAAAAATAATTTAAATCGGTAGGTCATGTTTATTCGTCATATTATCAACAATTATGAATTCTTATCAATATAAGTAAATTTATCGTCTAAAATATTTAAAACAAAAGACTTTTCCCTTTTACTGCATATAATTTGGACAAATGGTTAAAGAGATAATACAACATATTCGTAGGTATGGACGAACCCGAGCGAGCTGCTCGTCTGTTTGTCTGTTTGTACGGGCTAATCTCCGAAACTATTGAACCGATTTAAATGAAATTTTGCATGGTAACTTATATCCCCGGTCAACATCTAAGATACTTTTCCTTCCAGAAAAAAGTTTCCGTGAAATAGTTAAAAAACTATAGTAACTTATACAGCTTAGTACACAACAACTTAAGTACCTAATTTAGTAAAATTTGGCATTCTGATACCTTATATTGCCGGTCAAACAACAGGTTACTTTTCATCCCGGAAAAATGAACGGTTCCCGTGGGATAGATCTGTTTGTGCTTTTCTAGAGGTGAACCTGAGCGAAGCGAGGGTGAGCCGCTAGTGATATATAAAAACATAATATCTCTTCAAAAAGTGACGTGGACATAATTGTGACGTTAAGTCAAACCAATGAATAAAATTGAAAAATGTAAAGTTCTAGTTGTCTAAACAGAAATACGAATTTATGCACAACACAAGTACTTTTTTAAACAAAATAACGTGCGTTTTAATTTTATCATCCGAAAAGCAACGAACAAAAGAGATTTGAAAAAAGCGCACTAGTCTGTATCTTGAGTTTTTGTATATTAATGAATATAATAACTTTATACTCTTGATTTTTTGAAATAAATATCAATGTATACTTACTCTAAGCATCTGTTACTGTTATGTTGCTTACCTTAGAGATAAATTCTTCTCAATCTTTAGATCTTAGTTATATATATTTTTAAACAATGTTCTATTTAAAAAAATACTTGACCGTAGCCCTCATAACAATGTATATTGTAGAGAGGCCAAGCGGTGTCTTCAAACAAATTAGCATGAAACTTTCAGAAAATATTTTTTTTTTTATATGAGCGAATAAATTAAGTTAGTAACAAACTATAGAAACAATCAGAAGAAGAAGGTTTAAGCAATTATCTTATATATTAATATAAGAATCAACGTGGAAAATTATGCACGTAAATACGTCTAATAAATCTGAAGATATCTTAGAATATAATGTGCATGTATAAAATAATTTATTTAGGTCATCTCTTAAGGCCCTATCAACGCTATTCCACTCTAATTCTAATTCCACATATCTCTACCATAGGTGTATAGTATCTCAATAATGTGTCAGGTAATGCAAGCCTACATAAGTTATTGTCACTTCTCACTATCAAGCATCATGATTCACCTTTACCATATCAAAAAGACAGTCATAAGAATTAATTATTATTAAATTAAAATTAAAAATAGCTTGATTTTTATAGGAAATATGACTTTCAACTTAAAATTTTACTATTCCGTTTAACCTTCGATATTTTAGTAAGAATTTGAGAATATTGAATTATTTTATGTATATTCCAAGGTATCTTCAGTTCTATTAGACGTTCACAACTTTCCATAATATAATGACATTTTAAGTAAAATAAAATATACTAAAGTATATATATTAATTTCCTATAAACGACAATAACCAGGCCCACAGTAAACATTTTAGGAACAAGAATTTATGTAACGCGACAAAATTAAATTGCAGTAAAATCAGCTTTCATATATTCAGACATAATAAATATTTAAATTAACAAATCTCATTCACAAAGCACACGCTTTAGAAGGATGGTGTTAGCATATAATATTTATAACGAGCACGGTATGGACAATTTTGGTGCAACGTTTCGGAAGTCGCCGCAACTGTGACGCGGCATGCAAATAACCGTAAAAGCGAATTTGTGTTTCCAAATGCAAAGTGCTTACAAAGGGTTTAAATTTGCAATTCTATCATAAAAGCGACGCAGATAATACGTTGAAATGTTAAACCGTGGATAGTTTGACGCTCGCATTCTGATTAGCTAGTTCGATAGGTTTTACGTTCTGCTATACAGTGTGAAGTACTGTTTATATTTATACTAGCGACCGGAGGTGCGTCCTTAAGTACGTTTTATTTTTTTTAAATAAAAGCAGCCAA